GGAGTTTTTGTTTAGATGGATGTTGTCTATAGACTTTGAATCGAACTTTCCTTGACCCTGTAATTATCTATCCCTATGAAGAAGTGACCGCGTCTATCTTCTAAAGTGTCTCGTATATTGTCCTTTGGACTAGCATACTTTGCGGGTGGAAATTGAGACTTATTACTAGGATATTGTCCTTTTTCGTACAAGTAACTGAATAGGGGTAAGCTACCATTAGCTCCATTTCCATTTGCCACCCGATTCCCTATCTAAGAAAGAGCTATTGCGGCTATGACTGAGAAATTTATTGGTTTCATGTGTAATTACCTACCTAGTTGAAGATTGATAACAATACCGAGCCTATTTCGGTGTCGTTTATATTGAAATCTGACAGGAATCCTTCGCAAGTTGACCGCGCCTCGCGATATACCGGAAGTAATTACCTAAACCAAGATATCTCGGAGTCCGGGTAGGATCAACATGCGGACATGCGGCGGTGGCAAAGCAATGTACGCTAAAGCATCTTCATATTGTCTACTATACTTAACGTATAAACTATAGTAAAAAGGCTGATACGTCTGCCTGTGTCCTACTCCGGAATTAATAGTTGATAGTCAAGGGTGGTCGTTAGTAAATCAGCTGAGGTAGGCAGTTTATGTACCTAGATATCTAGTATAAAATGCACACGGCACTTAGATCCGAAGTGAGCCATAATTGGCCAAGAAAACAAGTCCTAGGTACATCTCCTTGCAATCTGATAGAACAAGGGTGTAAGGCATGTGGTTCAAGCGCGGAAAGGATCGTTCTAGAATATGCGCATTAGAATTGATAGCCAGTTAGATTCAAGAGGGACCTCTCATAGCACGTGGGGTGTGGGACGTTAGAAGTTGAGGCTGAATGTTGACTTATACGTCATATATAACATTTATCGTACATGAACTCGCAGTCCCGTGAAGGCTCACGCATGTACGATGAAATGTGACGAAAAATAGACGGATTTCCAGGTTGCTGGAAACTCTGTGTAAACGGGCTGGTGCTGAAACGCCAGGTTGCCTTATGGACGCGCAGATAGCCAATAAAGCATCGTAAGGCTCTCAAACAGAGAGCTTAGAGACGAGGGTACGGTACGGTAGGTTCGTTGGGTATCAATGGGCCCCGCCCGGCGACGCTTCGCCACTTTGCCCTCTACCGCTTAAAGGATAAATGCGCACATCGTCGGTCGTTGATTTCCGCGAAAGGATATCGGAAGATCTCTTCGTTACGTCTAGGTTCACTAGACTCGGATTGCCCGTATTGCCTATCACCAGACTCGTGAGGTCTTCCTTGGTGCATTGACACTTGGGAATGGAAAATCTGATTGTCGAAATGACCTGTCATTGTCCTCGGCGATAGACACTGCCACTTCTGCAGCATTAAGTCGAAATTTGTCCATTCATCGATACCGAACAGCTAAGGCAACCTTGGAAGCCAAGCATGAGTCTCACGCTGCAAGCTAATAGTGGCTTTTGATCAGTATCGTAGGATATACGCCACAATTATATTATTGTCAATGTTGCTTCTGTACTTTTTAGTCCTCTGACTAGAAATTTTGATATGAAAACAGGATTTCTCAAGAATACCCAAAGAAATTGTTCTGCAGTGAGCATCAACGCCCCGAATGTGTCCTGGCATGAAGTCTGACTAGATGATTTTTCCAGGCAGCAAAGGGATGAGCCACTTAATCATATGAAGCATGGAGTTGATGAGATATTCCATTTCTCACCGCTGCGCGGTTAAGATCGCAAGTGCGAATATGAGTGATCCAAGGCGTATTGGTGATTAGGCAGAGGTGATTCATGCTAGCAAGAAAAGCGGTGACGTCTGGGGCACCCTACAAATTCGAAGGGTGAAATTCAAGATGAACAACACACGTCTGTATGTCTCTTCCCTGCTACCTCAATTGATCTCCTCTTGTGTTCTTTCGTCGGAACGTGAACATCGCGGTTGTTAGCCATATGATCGTGGGTAAAATGAAGGAGGAGTGATGAGGGAAGTGGCTTACATAAACGAGAAAAATGAGATTATCTCGCTAATGAAATGTTCCTTATTGAAAATATGTAATAAATGATTGGCGTCGTCCTTACGCACTTATCGCGATAGTGGCGACGATCATGTCCGGGTCTCCGCATCTCTTCCCATCCGTCTCCCCTTTTCTCATTTTCCTGCCCCTCATTTCCAGGTTCTTTCCCCCCTACCTTCGTTACCCCACATCCGCTAGCTGACGATAGTCTCTACAATATCATGGACAGCATAGACAGCATGGATAGTGCTCCCGGCACGTACGCATGCACAAGTCAAACAGATCCTCGAAAATGTAACGATGTCGTGACATAAAGCTAGGTAAGCAATGGCTATTCGATTGGTAAATACCCCGAAGTCGTCACCATCTGAACCACTTCTCCGGGTCCTCGCAGTAGCATTGTCTTACTTCTTTTGCTTTGTTTGGTGTTAGGGTCAACCTTCTTCCACTGCCACAGCTCTCCCACATTTGGAGACAATGGACAATCCCGCCCACCAACTGCCGGGAGTCCGAGGACCTTCAGATGATGGGACAGGGTGGATAATGAGGATGACTGATAATTACATAAGGGCCACGACGACCTCATATGATCGTGTACCTCTAGTTTGGAGTTTAATTATAACCCATTGGTTTTCCTATACAAGCTACCCCAATTAGATCCTATTAGAACTCTCGTATACTTCTCATGATAGTAGTTTAGGGAAAAGCATAACTATAGAAATAACCAAAATACCGACACAATGGCAGCGCCGAGTGGGATACCAGCTCTTCTAGACCTGACTATCGACAACATCACACCGAATACGAACCGCATCAACTCACAATGTCAGAACCCACGGCTGAAGTACTTGATGTCGCGGCTGGTAACACACCTGCACGACTTCGCTCGCGAAACGCGGCTTAGCACCGACGAGTGGATGGCGGCCCTCAACTTCCTCGTGGGCTGCGGGCAGATCAGCAGCGACGTGCGTCATGTAAGTGTCTCGCGTTTCCTGCTCTCCTGCAATGAAAATCAAACACAGAAGCACATACGAACCTCATACCAAGAAAGATACTAACACAATCCAGGAATTCATCCTCCTATCCGACATCCTCGGCCTCTCCCTCCTCGTCGACAGCATCAACCACCCAAAACCGCCCTCCTCAACCGAAGGCTCAGTCCTCGGGCCCTTCCACACACACGACGCCCCGACCCTCCCGAACGGCTCCACCATGGCCTCGGACCCGGAAGGCGAGCCCCTCCTCTGCATCTGCACGGTAAAAGATACCTTAGGCCGGCCCGTGTCCGGGGTAAAGATCGACATCTGGGAGACCGACAGCAGCGGCCACTACGACGTGCAGCACTCGGACCGCCAGGAGCCGAGCGAGCGGTGCGTCATGGTTAGTGATAATGAAGGTCGCTTCTGGTTTAAGGGTATTAAGCCTGTTAGCTATCCGATTCCTCACGATGGGCCCGTTGGTAAGCTGCTTGAGAGGTTGGGAAGGCATTGCTGGAGGCCTGCGCATCTGCATTTTATGTTTGAGAAGGAGGGGTGGGATCACTTGATTACGTGAGTCGGATTGCTTTCTTTTACTTGCCTGTTCTGTTCGTGCATATAATGAGAAGGTACCTGGCGTAAAAATGGAAGAAGTGGGGGAGGATTGGTGGAGGTGGCTGTCTTATAAAACTAGGTTTCGTATAAGCTAACTAATCTCACGAAACAGGGCCCTCTACGTCCGGGGAGACCCGTACGAGACATCCGACGCGGTATTCGGCGTAAAACAGAGCCTCATAATCGACATAGATAAAGTCGACCCCGCAACAGCAAAGGAATACAATTTCCCGGAAGGCGGCTTGCTGCTAAAGCACGACTTCGTACTGACGACGAAGGAGGAGACGGAAAAGCTAAGAGATGAGAACGCAGTGAAGGCCCTCGCGCAGCTGGGACTGCAGATGAAGCTTGTTGACCATCTGCCTATACCCGACTTAGATTGAGATGTATGTGGCTGATGTCTAGAGTGTAGGTAGAAAAATCGGAATTAAATATATTGATTCAAATGAGCTAGTGGTCCGAGCATCATGGTGTTGAAGCTATGGCCATCATGTCGTCACGAACATCCGCGTAGGCAACCATATATAGCTATGCAACAGTAGTAACTCCAACACTAAATCACAACTTCAAGGCCGGGTTGGGACGACAAAGGTGCCCGGATGGCTCAGCGGGGATAGACGGGGATTATAGACGGTATAGACGGTGATAGAGGTTGAGTCAATCCGGGACGTGTTCGAGGGTTCGATTCCTTCGACGGCCAAATCTTTTTTTTGTCAATTCATTTTTCGTGCATCACACATTCATAGCAACCACCCACACGCATTAGAATTCTTATGAGTCGTGCATACATGTGATAACTCACGATAATATGGTTTCTGCTTCACTTTTCTTCACAATCTAGTTTTATCAAACCTCCAACAAGCATGTATTCTCACCATAATGAATGATGTCCCAGCAGTAGCATTACCACAACCAAGTACTTTTTTTTTTAAAAAAAAAAAAAAACAATTAGTCTACATGTATACCTAAGTTCTTGGACACCTCGACTTCTGAACTTCAACATTGGCACATGCCGCTTCAAACCATTGGTATCATCCCGATTACCTTTGAATCCCATCACACAACACCCATGCCCGAACTCTCTTCCTTTAGCCAGGATTTCCTAATAGTCTCTAATCGTAATTACCTCTTGTTTCTCTACTAATTTCTAAATTAATCAGGGTGAAGACCAATACCATGCTTCTAATCTCCCCACATCAAGATCTTCTCACTCACGCTCTAAGATAGCACAACTTACAAGAATGATCATAAATCCAAATCAACCTCTAGAAGAAATATCAACAATACTACGCTTCATACACATCCCAAACCAGCACAGAAAAAGGGAGCAAAATAATCAACACCAAAAAAAAATCGAAAAAAGAAAACGACGCAGACCTGATTCGAACAGGCGCTCCCAAGGGAATATGATAGAATAGGAATATATTCTAGTCATACGCAATAACCACTCTGCCACTGCGCCCGCCTTCTCAACTCCCCCCAGCGAGTGTAGATGTTAACAATTGTGTTAGAGCAATAGATAAACATTGAAGCCAATCAAGCGCACGAATACAGACCAATACCTACCCACGCTCCTTCCTTCATACGATTCAAACTTTCATCCGAACTTTGAAACCGGGATATTGAGCATATATTTAGGTAATCAGGCCAAACCTACGTGCCAGAAGGGGTTTCGACTATGTAATGTAGGTGTTTGTGGGAATACATGAGGTAGGCAGCCCCTAAAACTGGCTGTTGTGTGGTTTCCTAGGTAGAGAATGACAACTCCAGCAAAAAAGGGGGGGAGGTTGCTTGGGACGGTCTCACTTAAAAAACCACTCCCAACCTCGTATGCGAGTAGGTAAATATCCAACACATCTAATATCTAACCAATCACATAGAGAAACCAAGCAATATTATAACAGTCATCGGAGTAGATTAATAAGTACCCAAGTAAATCGGCACACATATAGGTATAGTTGCGCTAGATACGCTCATAAAGCACTCAGCCCAGTTCCATCCATGCATCCTCAGACTCGAGGCTTAGAGCTTAAGTACAGGCTCAAGCATCCAGGCACGTATACAGCACCCCTTAGCGCTAGCACATAAGCGTCGTCAACCCACCCATCCATCCAACCAACCCGTCTATACAAATACATGTCAGGATTACCGTCCCGACTGGTATATGGAAGAAGCCCAAGTTGGCTGCATGTGGTATCTCCTATTCCCATCCCTACCCCCGTTCCCGCCTAGGTATCCTATCCCAAACGCCGGTAGTAGAGTCGTTATGTTTTGTGTATGTCGTTTCGCTCGTCCTAGTATGGGTATTAGATGTATGTAGGTAATAATTATATACAGCCTCCTTCTCGTCTCGTCTCTTCTCCACCCCTACCCCTTATAAATGCTTTTTCTCGTATAATAGTGTCGTATTTTGTATACTATATCGTATACTTTGCCCGTTCACAACGCATAATTCTCCGTGTGCAGGAAAATCTCCTCCAGCATAGGGTCACCCCAGATCTCCGCCTGCAGTCGCGCTACCATATTCGACACGCCGACTCGCATGCTCGGGGGACCACACACGAACACAGCCGTCCGTCTCCCTAAGATACCCCTGCCATCCACACCACCCGTAGTCCACTCGCGGAGCATGTACCCGAGATCCGGGCGCCCGTACTCAACGCTCCAACCACCGTCTATCTGGTGCGGCACCGGAAACGCGAACCGCATCAGGCTCTTCTGGAATTCGGTCGGGGTCTCCGGGAACCCGAAATCGAATCCAGACGGCGGGCCGAACGTCGACGTGGGTCGCGGTTGTTGCGGTGGTAGATTTGTCGTGCGCAAGTGTGCGAACTCCGGTGGTCGGATCACGGGCTCTGAAGGTTCGCCTGAGGCCTCGTCATCGCTGGAAGGGGGCGGTATTCGTCGCGGAGACGGCGGTGCGTAGTTAAAGTGGGGTTGCTGGTCGGGGCGCGTCTGTAACGGCGGGAAATGGAATTCTCGCTTTGGCTTATCGTCGGGGAAGCCGTCTGTTGGGGCCGGCGGTACGTTATTGTGATCTTCGGTATCACTGTGATCCAGGCCTTCTAACCTCCGAAGAGACTCCTGCTGAGCTGACAGGCGATTCGAAGGTGGCGGGCCTTGAGGTGGGATATGATGTGGTTGGAGATATTTCTGTTGTGGGAGGGCGGTGATTCTATCTTCGTCCTCTGCTCGTAGTTCGCGCTCGTAGTCTTGGTTACCCTGTGCTTCATCTCGGATCAACTGGGAATTACGCTTGGAGGCAATTCCGGCTACGAATCCATCTAACCTATCATGAAACATATTGCTTAGAGGCCGGGGTCCTCGTTCGCGATGGGCTGGGACTCGAGATTGCCTCTTGGCTGCAGTAACAAAAAATTTGCATGTTACACTCTCTGGAGGCGCAGAGTCTCGGCAGATACGCAACTCCTCTCGGAACCAATCCATTGCCTCAAGTCGTTTAAGGGCCCAGACGACTACTACTTTCTTCGTGATAGCTTTGCCGTCACGCATACGCTTGATCAAGTTTAATAACTGAGACATCAATGCAGTTACACCGCTTCCGCCAGCAATTAGAATGCATGTATCGAATGCAGCTAATTCTCGGCGCATGCCACCGTAAGGACCATCGAGATACGCCCGGTACGTGTGGAATGGCCCCTTCTCGATAGCGGTGTCCAGAACCCGTCGGGTAAACCCACCATAAGGTTTGAAAACAAGAGTGCAGTCTCTATATTGCTCGCCATATTCCGACGGGAAATCTTCGCTACAGAGCGACGAGATGGTAAACGGATGGTTATCGAAAAATGAGATACCAGGCATGCGCAAATACACATATTGTCCGGGCTTCCATTTCATCTGCGTGGGAATCGTGATTTTAATGGCGTTCTCGGTCATGAGGGTAATAGCTGCTTCATCCCCAACCAAGAATGACATCCGCCACGGCTTAACCCAGTTGAGTTTGAAAATGCGTAGAAAGTAGCATAATACCCAAATGGCTATCGTGGCATATAAGTAATCCCAAGACCCCAGGTAGTTCTTGGTATGCCAGAATAGACAACCCAGGTATACGAAGCCAACTGGCACGTGTAGCGTGACGAAAAGCTCGTAGGCTATCCTACGAATGAAAGGCAGCGAAGCGACGCAGAGCCAGAGAAGCGGTACTAAGCATGCGATACCAGTGCCGTAGATAACACCGCTCCCTTGAGGGAATAGTGTCTGAAATATGACCATACCACCGTCGTCCCAAACGGGTTGGACGTAAAACGGAATGGTATGGACGAGGACCAAGAACAAGCAAAGATAACCCGCCCATCGGTGAAACACGTTGAGCCGCTCTGGTCCAATGCCCGTGATGAGTGTGAGAAGGTTAGCTTTCATGCTGGTTGCAACGATCCAAGGAGTCATCGCGACAGCAATCATGCCTGCTCGGATCGCCACCGGAGGGGAGCCATATTGAATGCTGTCCCAATAAAGTGGCTGCTTGAGAAACACGTATAGAGATACGAATGCCAACGCAATGAAGCCGACAAATAGAACTGCGAGCGACGAAAAAGTGAATCGATGTTTTCGCCATACGATATCGGGTATCGGTCGGTAGAATACCCATCTAAAAAGGGCAAACGTGTCTAGAACAGGACCGACGGCGGAAAAGTCGGATTTCGGCTTGAAGTCCCTCTTCTCTCCTCCACCCTCCTCAGGGAAGAACTGTCTTCCGGTTTGGCCTGTGTGCATGCCCGTCGCCAATGCGTATTCGGGATCGAGGTTATATAAATCTCGATAATGCTGCTCCACCTCTTGTTTGTATATCGCCTGTCGAATCTTGTCTTGCCACCAATGCCATATTCGTACCAGCACCACTAATCCCATCAGGGCTACACTGAAATATGTCCATCCTAGGCCGTACTTCCAAGATGCACTCCATGGATCGATAGTGTCCGCTTCCACCAACCCCGGCGGGCTCGTTGCCGTCAAAGGAATATTTATCCTTTTCGCAAGCTCTGAAAGCGTCCTCGATGCACCCGCCATGACTGATATCGGCTCCTCAGCCATGATGAGTTGGTTAATAGAGTAGCGATGTCGACGAAGTTATTTGTATTGAGCACTTGGCATCTCCTTCGCTAACCAAATTGAGGTCGCGGGCGCCTGAGCGCGAGAGCGTTTGAATTTCGAAAATTTCCGTCGCTCTTGGCCTCGTCTAAGACTCTTTAACTTGCTACATGAATTAGGACTTGGTGGCGGACGTCTTTACGTGTCGTTTTTTAGGTTGGATATATATCATTGGGAATAATTAGAACGAATGAATGTTCGTCGCGTGAAGAGGAATACCAGACTCCCCAATTCACGGGACTAGATGATACTGAAAGGCAATAATAGCGGCCATTGAATTAGATCATGGCGATCTGACGACGACAAACAAAAAGGAATAAAAGGATCCGGACCGACGATGAGATGGGTACGGAAGGATAGGTATATATCGGTTACTTGCCAGGGTCGCGGTGGCAGGGTGGGGAAGTATTATCTGTATGTAGATAGTTCCCTTTTCGCCAGGTACAACATGCAGCGAGGTTGTCAAGTTTCGTCACACAACTACTACATTCGGCCTGCGATCTCCTTAGGGAATACCCAATAGGAGTTTTACGAGATTGGCCTCGTGGAAAAGCAGGCGGGGCAAACTCGAACCTCATACCAGGGCCATCAACGTCGTTCAATCAGGAACGAGTAACGGGTTGATTGTGGGTTGGTGTGGATTGCAATCGGTTGAGTAGACTTAGGACGATACAAGACCCAGCGGTTGGCCGTACTTCGATATTGGCTGACCTGGGAAAGTAGAGAGATTTGTTCCCCCGCAGACTGCAGAAGACCGCAGACTGCAAGACTGCTGCAGGTTGCGCCATGTTGCACGGAATAAGCGTGGGCGCTAGAGGTGTGCGAACAATGTCGAAGCTTGGCAGAGCGTTCTCTAATGCCAGGTATGGAAATACCCAGGTAGCCCAGGTAGCCCAGGTAGCTCTGTCGCCAGGGTGCTTAGCTACGGGAAGATTGCCGTGCCGGTAAGCTGGCAAGGGTCCATTATTTCTGTGCTAAGTTGTGCATATGTACCTCCTACGCACCTGGGCATGCAGCCATTCGCAGGATGCAGATCCACGAGAGCTTTTAACCTACCTTACCTAGCAGCCTAGGTACATTAGAATGGTGACGGTGACGGTGACGGTGACGGTAATAGAGAATGACCGAACGGTATTAGAGCGGTCAAAAAGGTTGCATGATTCGATGGATGGGCTCATGTCGAAAGCGCTTCCACTTTGAATTATCGATTTTGAATCTTGATCTTTTGGACGCCTCCAACATTGTACGCGTATCCCGATTGAGATCTTACCCCCAATCCTCCCCCAAGTTCCAACAAGCTAAAGAGACGTTACACCGAAGGGATGATTCTGATGGTCCTACATCCCGAGTGAT